ACTGCAAATAACGTGGCGCAACACCGGTTCTATTTTTCGTTTTACCTACGCGGCACGCCGTCAACGTGGAAAGCGAGTACCACAGATCCAAGACATAGCTCGCGAAATGATCGCATCGTGGTAACTCGATATTTCGCCAAAACATATGGGACACAAAGTGGAGAAAAGTACCGCGCGCTGTGATAAATCGTACGAATCGATCACGCTTCGATTAGAAAAATCAAATATAATCGCGTGCTATTCGGTTAAGGCAGAATCGAACGCGATGTCGGTGCAAAGAAACACGTTCCGTGCTATGGGAAATTTACATAAATATATCCGTTTGCGCCGTTTATACGCGTTTCCTTCCGGAATCCCCCTCTATCCCCCTCTAACCCACTCTATCCCACCCCCGCGATCCAATCATCGATCTCTCGCTCCTTCCATCTTCCAGCCTTCTCTTACTTTCCGCTCTCCTCGCTCCTTCCTTTGGATACCGCGATTATGCCAACCCCGTGTGTCCATGTCACGTGTCTCTAATCCCTGGATCGATCGCGGATGATACGAAGGAAGCCACGATTTACGCGCAAATTACCATCATCCAAGCAAGCGAATAATACCGAAAAACACACCGTCGCGTCATCTTCGCGATAAACCTTATAGTCGATTTTATAGCGCGATAATTTCGCGCGTGCTGATATTCTTAGAATATTTATTAAAAGAAAGAAAAGAAAAAAGAAAAAAGAAAAAAAAATTAAAGAACGGGAAGAGCAAGCAGCACTTGGACGTTTTATCCGATTTCTTCAAATTTTTCATCTTTGCAACGTATGCCTGCAGATCGCGTTTAACGCGAATGAGCAGTACAACGGATAAAGATCGTGCGATCGGTCACACCTCATACATATATATCGAATAGGTACTACACGCTGAATATGCATTTGTTCGATCAATTTTTCGTGGAAAGTATGATTGTAAAAGTTTTCTTCTCCGACGAAGAATAACGTCGAACGGCGCAAACAGAAATCGTGGAACATCGATCGGTAACCCACGCGGCACGGAACGTGTCAGAGGTAATACAGAAAATGTGGAAAACTCGCGTTCGACTAAAAACTTGTTTCAAATTTTCATTTCGACCGGCACGAACAATCGATTCAAGGTAACAAGTCTCTGACGACAAAATCAACGACCTTCCCCATCAATGCGAGCACTCGTCAAACTTAGCTCTATTCGCGAATTATCTTCTCGTGCGCGGAATACGTAAAGCTCGTCTTTTCGATCAAACGATCCTAGATCGGATCGTAAAAGCGATCATTTTTAAAACTAATCGATAACCAACGGCAACTTGACTCGAAATTAAGAACTAGCATTGACAGAGAGATCGCTCCTCTCTCTCCGAAGTTACCTTATATTTCCCGCGTTGGATCACCTTTCCAGGCGACCATACAACCCCCCCCCCAACCCCTCTACCCGTCCTCTCCTAGCCCA